TCATAAAAAATCATTGCACGAAAATTTTCTCGTGTTAAATTCATGATGACGTGACACAGACAATTTTCAATTTGCCGCCAAATCGTAAAACAAATGACAAATGAATGAAATATATACTCAGTAATATTGGCAAAGAGTTATATTTTCAAATTTTAGAATTATTTTTTTATTATATTGTTTATAAGTGGTCAGTTCTAAGAACTTTCAGTTTGACCCTCGTAATAGGAGAACTACCGCTTCGATTTCGATAAAATTTAAGTGGCACCATCTCGGTCAATTAACCTGTAGAATAAAAAAAGAATTTTGAAAATTGGTCAACACTTGGCGAAATTATACATTCCACGTATTGTTCGTCTGCGATGTGTGTTTTTTTATACATACATAAAAAATTAACATCGCAGTCGAACATAATATAACTTCCTTCTTCTAGATATTGTTGTAAGTTAAAAAGGGTTTTATGACATAAATTTCATTTAATATTTCCACTATCTATACTCACTCGATACATGTCTATACTGTTTGTCCAAAAAATTACGTTAATACAAAAAATATCTAAACTTCTTGGTATGAGTCTTTCGAAGAAGGTTACTAAACTAAATAGTTAATTTAAAAAATTAATTCGATTGCACGCAATTTAATTTAATGTTTGTATTTTTTATAATTAGCCATTTGAAATCCAGTGAAATAGTTTCATATGGATGATGGTGTTGTTATATAAAACGAATTTTAATTTTGTATGTTTTCTGGCATAATTTTCACATATTATCACTAATTAAGCAAAGTTACTTGAAACAAAAAGCTATCAGTTAAATTTGTTTATCTATTCAGCAATCTTTTAAGGTTAGAATTTTAAATCATATTTAGTTAAGCCAAAGTTTAGCTGCCAATCAAGATACTGTTTAAATTTTTGCCAAACATTTTTCAAGTATTGCTTCAATATTTTAATTTTTATAATATTAGTAAGATATCAATTTAAATCGTTTTGTATTCATAATGTTATATTGATGTATGTCTTAACTATATCTATATAAAACAAAGGGCCTTCTCACTATCTACACGCAAATTTTTTTAAATTATCAATGCGTTTTTGAGATTTTCATCAATATTTACAGTAAGTACAAGAGGTACGTTTATATGTATAATAGAGGACCTCAACTACTTACATTTTGCCATTGTACTGTCTACCTAAAGTTCGATTAAGGTCTGTTACCAAAGATGTGCGAGGAAGGTGAGGAAGACGTAGCACCAATAATATTGGAATTTAGATAGATAATACAATGGGTAAAAGGCGTCGAGATTGAGATGCGATTATTACGTAAACATGTGTGAATTGGCTTGCTTGCTTGCTTGTGCGGGTCTGTCTATTGTCATGTTTGGCTTTTTAGGTCGCGTCTGGTGTAAATATTTATATGTCCGGCCCTTACGTCTTTTTTGTTTTTGTTAGGCTGACTTATTCTGTTTTTAGTATTTGTTGTTATAGTAATATGGTCCCGTTTATGGCCCCTTTGGTCCCTAATAGTAACGTCATGTCTATCTGTCTGTCTACAGATGTGTGACAGTCGTACTACTACCGAGTAGGTCCATTGGCGAGGGAGAGTCCCATATGCCTTAGGCGGCATATGGGACACTTAGCCGACAGTGCGTTACGAATTTTTCCATGGTGTTTTTTCCAAAATGCCTGCAAGTATTGAGCAATCTTAGTTTATAGAGTGGCATAACAGAATTTGCAACTACTCATCAATAGGTACCTGAAATTGCAGTCTATTATCGCTTACACCACGCCGCTACGGTTCGTAGTCCGTAGCCATTGCAACTGCGTCTACGACAATACTATGACCTTGCATATTAAAAGTAATACACACAAATTTTTACACATCAGTTAGTCTGCTTTCTTTGTCAGAATTCTGAGAAAAGAAATAAAACGTCAAAGTCAAAGAGCCTAAAATATTCCTCTCGCTTCGAACCTTCGTTGAACTCCTTCGGGTAAGCCGTTCAAAATGCACATTTCCTTGTTGACACACTCAAGTCAGTGGCCAAGGCACATAAATCTCAGAGTGGCAGATAAATCGAAAACGAAAATATTTGTATAGAATGTCGAGGTAGCTTAGCTTATATTCATTAGCCGAGAAAAAAAAAATTTAAACATTTATTTAACTTTCTGATAGCTTAGATGGAGGGGCACTCGTCCAATTTAAGAAAAGTTCCCGTTTATTTTTTTATATAAAATAGCCTCAACTTATGTCTTAGTTTTTAGGTCAATTATTTTTAAGTATACTCGTAAAAAAAACAAATCTTTTCTCTAAAAGAAAAACTAGCCCATGCACGCTTCCTTGTCAGTTCTTCTCAGGATGTCTCCAATGGCGTAGTATTCGACATTCACAAGTGCTTCTAACAGCCTATACTTAATAAATGATATTGAATCTTTGAATTCTTTATAATGTTTAGAAACTTATATTGCGCCAGCAAAGACGTCATTTGCTTATAGGTGATTCCCACAGATGAAATTAGACGTCGAGTCTCATACATATTCATAATTACATAATCGTTCTTAAATAGGTAGTTATTGGTTATAGTTTAGTTGCACAAACAATTAATCGACGGAAAAAGGTGGAGGTTATCAAGTCGACACTCATATTAACATTTTTATAACCATGTTCACCTAAACATTCTGATTCTATCGTCTTCTGTGGTTCCGTAGTAAAAAACCGATCAAGTGCGAGGCGGATCCTCGCCGTAGAATTCCCGAATTAAAGAGTAATTACTTAGAGCTCGTAGAAGAGTAGTGACTTAAGTGAAGTAAAAACAACAAACAAATTCGGTGGCAAATGACTTTTAGATAAGACGTATGAAACATATACATATAGCCCATAGAATAGACGGAACCTTATATGCGGGACCCGAAATGTAGACCGGGTTTTTGGGTTATGTAAAATGAGACCCTATTACTAAGACTACGAAGTCGGTCCGCCTGTCTGTCACCAGGCTATCTTATGGACCTTAACAGTGAGACATTTGAAATTTTCACTGTAAAAATTTCATTTCTGTTGCCGTTATAACTAAAGAATGAAATAAAATAATCATTTTTTTAACAGAACTAACTTCAAACTTTAAATAAGTATTAAAAAATACTTATCTCAAAACCGACTTATTCGAGTAAATGAATGCTATTGAAATGGAACATACAGAAAACCTCCGCCCGACTTCAATAGCATTTTCTTAGAAGTTTGAATCCGGTTCTATTTTTTTTTTTAAGTTTTTATTTCATGCTTTTTAGTGATATCGAAATTTTTCTTATAATAGATAAAACTAAAAAGATCAAATATCTATATAAATAAAAATATTCAACATAGTGAAAGTATTAGAAAAGAAGACTTTGTTCATTTGCTCGACATATTTTTTTACAATAATTCTGTACTCATTATGAAGAGGAAAGATTTGATTGCTTGTTTGTTTGCATTAGATAGGCTCCGAAACCATTCAATTGATTTATAAAAGTATTTCATTTACGGCAAGCTGCATAATACGCGTTGGACATAGGCTATAATTTAAGCAAGCGGAGTACGTTGATAGAAATTGGTTCATAATCCAAAAAGAAATCCAATGATATACCTACTTTCATAAAAAATACACATAGAAAATACTCCTTTCAGATTTTGAATGAATTCAAAATATGCTATCTCTTTTTAGCTGAAATACATGAAAACGCCTAAATATTTAGGTGATAAACGTATTTTGTTTTGTTATAAAAGGAAAACTACAAATTCGATTTCGATAAAATTTAAATGGAACCACCTCGGTCCATTAAGCTGTCGAATAAAAAAAGAATTTTGAAAATCGGTCAACATACATAAAAAAAACATACATCTTAGTCGAACATATAACTTCCTCCTTTTGAATTTTTAAGTCGACTTAAAAATTTATGTTTGATGAAACTGTTTTTCAACATACATGTGATTAGAATTAATTAGAGAAATTGCACGTACTGTGACATTTTTTCCTGTGTTTTATCTTATATACTGTGAATAGTTTATAGGAAGCGTATCATGTACGTGATTCTAATAGATACATTGATAAGGTACTAGACGCTCTTCGCCGAGGGAACTGTTTTTATCTCCCAATGAAGTGGTTAATATACTGATTATTTAGATCAAATACCTACGTATTTAATTATATTAAATATGTGTTGGAGAGGTATAAGTGAAATCAATATTATTCCTCGTATCTTATTAACAACATTATTGAGGTAGGCAACTGACCTTTACCTACCGATAATTCTTTTAGGAATTTCGAATATACATATAAATATTAGTAACAACATCACAGACATTGTTCCAGATTTAAACATTCATAAAGCATTCGTATTGTGAACTATTTGAAAAATCGGCAAGTGCGAGTCAGGCTCGTGCACATAGGGTTGTACCGAAAACAAGCAAAAAATCGCATTTGTTGTATGGGCCCTCTTAAATATTTATTTTATTCTGATTTTTAGTATTTGTTATTGAAGCGGCAACATAAATACATCATCTGTGAAGAAAATTTCAACTGTCTAACTTTCACCTGGTGAAGTTTTAGTAATTGGGTTTCCGTTTTACCCTTTGCCTACGGAACTCTAAAAATTGAAGGTACTTGAAGGTAATCCACCCTAATATTTTTAAAAATATTTTAAACTTTCGATAAAAATTTGTTCTAATTTAAATAGATTGCTTAAGCATTTTTCATGAAAAATATTTTCCAGATTTTTAAGATATTAAAAATAATTGTTTGGTTGCGAGTTTTTATTGAAAAACCAAAATCTGTCGATATATAGACTACGTTGTTATAATTCAACAATTGATATCGTAATAGTATTATAATTAATCATGCAATTGGAATTTGTCTTTATCTAATTGACTCTATTTATTTAAGTAGCTTCAATGAGTAGGTATTAAAATTATATCAGCAAGTGATACTTTCAGTCCAACTGAATTATGAGCGATAATAAAATCTAAAAAGAGGATGATTTAACGAAAAAAAGAAACAAGATGTTGAAAAAATTAAGTACAAATTTTATTATTCGGCGCTTTTTCGATGAATACTGACATATTCAAATACAAAACAAATACAAAAGAATTAAACTAAACTCGTGATTTAATCACTTAAAGCTTCATAAGCTTCATACGTTACAATAAATAAATTAAAATAGGACACAAATACGCAAAAAACCTATGAGATTCTATGCCTTTGGCACAATCATAGACTAGGCTTGAAGCAAAAAATATTGTTCTAAACTATGATTAGGTAAAATAAGCTATTTAAACTATTACACAAATCAGAACCATGAGCATGATAAATATTTTTTTTATCATATTAAGTGTATTCATTATTATTATAAAGAGAGCCACTCAGTAATATCGAGACATAAATAATTTAAGTTAACCACTTGACTAGTAATAAAAAATTACCCTAAAAAATTGATCTAGTTTTTAAATGCTTACTTTTACAACTAATTACAGAAATGGAATAACAACCTATATCACATTTTAGGAATTACGTAAATCATTATTTACGTTCTTAAATCTAATTACGTACAAAATATATTATTAAAAATACTGTTTCGTGATGTCACTCCACACCATCGTCTGACATTTAATACTAAGCAACTTTATATAATACTATGGAGAGTTCAATAGTTTTAAGTAATAGTGCTTATTTACAAGTTTGAAATAAATACAACCAAAAAGTCCTAAGAATCAGAACTAAGCAATCCTAACACTCACAGCTCTTTTTGGCCCCTTTTCTAGTGAATAAATAACTTAGACGTAACTTACATTAACGTAATACTGTTTGATTAATTTAATACCTAAACTTATGACTATAATAAGACACTTGAGTCAGTCGACTTTATTGAAATGCGCGTACGGTCCATAATTTCACAACACAAATCTTGGGAAATTCACAATTTTGTCTTCATCGTTTTCCACTGTACGTCTTGTTGTCTAACGCAACGGTTTCAATCAGTTAACACAACCTTAAATTTGTGTGCATAGAGTTCATTTTATCTTCCTCCGGGGTTCACATGCGCACTTAGATCGATTCCACCGCATATTCTGGCCCCGCTGTAACAATAAAAATATAATTTGCTAAAATTGTCTTAAAAACAAAACAATAATTACAGTTCATATTAAAAGCGCAAAGTTTGAAGATAATGGATGTGAACAGAGCGTCAACAAAAACACCAAAAGAGTGAACTGATCTGATCTGCCAAGTAGTGACACATAGTGAATTGTGAATACAAGACATAACAGTGAATAGGAAGCAAATGTTGAGAGTGCGCATAAAGCTTTTGCGAACCTTTTTCATTAGCCAAATAGAAACAGAAATTCTATTGCATGGAATAAACGTGAGAATTCTATGTTATCAAAGACTCGTAAATAAATGCGTTTATGTATAATCGTTTAAATAGGGACTATGAAGTGGTCCAAATATATATCAAATTTAATTTTACTTTACTTTTAAAAATTACTATAATTACAGGGGAAAAAATAGAGATCTTTGAATTTTAGAGGTAACTTTGTTAAATTCAACTTTTATTCTAGAAAATTGACTTGGAAAAAGGAGTGGTTCTTTATTTATTTCTCATTTAATTTATAATAAGCTTTATACACCTTCTTAAACAGCAGAAGAATAGTGCTGACGCTCCACCGATAGGCATGCGAGCTAGGTTTACCAGATCACATAAGTATAATTTGAAAAACAGATTTCGTTCTTATTTATAACTACAATGTCTAGGAAATTTTAAAGTACCCAAAGAAAAAAAAACGATAAATACCATAACCGGTTATGTTATTAAAACTTTTCCCCGATAAGGGATTCCCTCTTAATCATGTTTATGGCTTAAAAATAAGGTTCGTCTTTAAAAGTATGACTGTGCGAGAACACAACTTTATAGTTTTTTTTATGAAAAATATAATTAACATATATGTCCTTTAACATCATATACATACATAGGTATATTAGATGAAGCATTTAGACTAATAAAAATAAAAGTTTTTTTAGTTAAGAGAGGACACTTAGATGTTTAATTTATTAGTTTCGGAAGATTGAAAAGTGAAGCATGCCTAAGTTGTCTGGTAACCCATTACGTGCCACAACATCCATTATCTACGAACCTGCCGGAGGCAACTGCGTCTCTCTTCTGTGTTGGAACATTGGCAGGTGCACTTACGAGGATTGAACACCCGGTTCTCTCCACAATCCGTACGTGACCCCGAACAGCATCCACAACTGACGTGCTCTACGACAGGGTACGTTGAACACGTCTCTTTGTCTGTTTTCACGTTATATATTCGGACCTGTTAAAAAAGAATAAACCTTTAACTTTACAAATTTAGATACTTAGACAATTTAAGAATCTAGCTACTGTGTGGATATTATAGTTTGGCAAGCGACGATTCCATTTTCAATGACAGTTGTAAAAATTACTTTTTATTCCGTGAGAACTGTTCATAGAATTTCGAATGCAAAGTGGAATTCGCATAAGTGTTTAGAGATACATATAATTATATTCTAGAATCTATCAACAAATTTCAATAGCACAAGTCACCTGATCAAACAATCCAATCAAAACATTCCTCATAGTTTAAAATTATTATATATAATTATTGTCATTAACATGTGCAAATACGGTAACTGTGCCAAGGAGCTCGATAGACAAACGGTTTCGTCCTTTCCGAGCTGATTGTAAAATCAAATATTGATTGTTCTTTGTCGGCCTTAGATAGCTATTGAGATACTTACTGGTATCTGCCTGATGGCAGTTCTGGTGGGGATGCATTTGGAGCCGTCCGTCTCCCAGTCACATAGGCCAACACATCGTTTAACCCAAACGGCACCAGGGCTCACCTGGGGAAACACGCTCACGTCAGTATCGTTTGTATAAAGCGGATTTTCTCACGCAAACTTAATGACTGAGACGCGGACACAAACAGTTGGTACACTATTTATTGCCAGCCGATGCCCGACTTTGCTTCGGGTGCAATATAAATAATTAATTTAATCTAAATAGATGTTGGGGATACGGAAATTATCATCCGCTTATGAAGAAATTCATTAGCTCTACATAATATTAAAACATAACGTTCAAATTGTAATGGCAAAGGTAAATTTCACATAACAATTAAAACAAGATTTGTTTAATTGTTTTATATTATTCAAATGTAATGTTAAATATCGGTGACGTAAATTTCATTCAACAGGTTTATAAATAAATATTTAGAGAGCGTGCTCTACGTTAGTGATAATATTTCGGATGGCAAAACGTAATCTCACTTATGATATTCAGTGAGTCACCGTATTACTTTAGACGGAAAATATCATCGCATGGACATTAACTGATAATAATGATGTAAACGGTATGTCTGCTCGTAATGAGTGTCTGACGAAACGGATGGTTCCTTTTATAATTTAGTTATGAAATACTTCGGCAAATATTTCATCGGCGCTTATTATAATTATTTATTGATAAGTAAATACCTGGCAATTAAGAATGTTCGCAGCGAATATTAAATCATATGATAATTATACTGATTAGGCAACGTTTAGCAATTAAGTAAGCAATTGAAGTTTTTTGTTTTGTTTAAAATGACTTCATATTTAATGACATTTAGAAACCCATATAAATGTCGTAATTGTAAAAATAACTATGACGACATTTTTAAATTAACATTTTTTTAGTTTGTTAAGAATGTGTAAAAGCTTAATGAAACAGCTTAATATAAAATATTTGAACTCGGTTCTATACTTTCAGCTTTAAATTTCTCTATTAATAAACTAATGTCGCTTAAACTTTGTAAATTATTATAATCATTGTGATTACCTGCTCATGAGCAGCTGTAGGCTCTAGATACACGAACACTTCTTTCGGTGGCCCGCATCTTGACTTTTCAATGATTTCATTACGAAGCCTGTCGTTTTCACTACTGCAGGCAACTGATGACAAAATATATAGTATATCAGAAACAAATTCAAATATAACTTATTGGCATTTAGTCTTGGAAAAATAATATTTTCTTTTTCAATTTATTATTCAAGAAATAACTTTTACGGTATGTAATATAAAGTTCATTCGATTATAATATTACGTTATTGTTAAAAGTTTCTACTTTATATGTTTATATTTTTTATAATGATTACACTTTCGAATAATTAAATTTTTGTTTGTTTAAACAAATGTCGAGTATATCTATTCACCTTTTTTAATATCAGATGCGTCGTACTCCTCTGAGCCCTTCGGGAACTTCGGATGGTGTTTATGCGCAGCATCCACCACAATCACGAAAAGGGCAACGAACAAAAAAACTTTCGCCATTTTTATCAACTTTCACAATACAACTATATTCCGATCACTTCATACAACACTTGTCACAACTCGTATTGGAGCACCACACCGATCACTGAACACGTGTTACTCTTTGGACGATCACTTCGTTTCTGGTGGTTTCATCGTCGCACGTTGTTATAAAGGTGGTAGGCGTGGTTGTGACGTCACATCGACGTTACATATTTGCACAGCTGATGGATACGTAACTTGCCGGCTTCAGGATGACAGCGGCCTTCATGAGCCTACCACTGTCAGAATTTCGCAACGTCACATCTCGAGGTCAGTGATACCTTTTGGCGTATGATTCAATCTTGCACAAATTCTACGTCATAGTTAAGCACATTACTTATATCATGTACGAGTATTTTATAAGGAAAAGTATTTAATAGATAACTTTTCCTTTTTCGATGATAAAATTGATAAGCTCTCATGACGTATTGTGGATTGCAAGTATTAGTTTTATATTTGTAGGAAGTTGAAGTTAATCGTGTTAAAAGAGACACGAGCCCGACGACGCCTTCGCTGGCGCCTCGATTATAATTTATCGCGTGCGGATAATCTAAGAATTCTATCGGTAGATAATATTGATTACACATATTTAACGACATAGAATACTTATCAGTCATCACATTATAAAGATATCGATTAATTTGCCCTTTCAAAATTGATATAAGTTTTTTCCCGCGTCTGCTTTCTATGGCTGGTATATATTTTTTCTGCTTAAAAGACATCAACATTTTTACAGCTATTTAATTATCAAATGTCATAGTTTGATTGATTGAATTCAAAGTTCAAATGATAACACTAATCTTCGTGACTCCGTGATATAATTATAGACTCTAAAGACAGTTGCTGGGTGGAAATTCTTTTCTATGTTAAATTGGTAAACGGATAACACATGAATTAAGATAATTATTGGTTTATTAAATATTAAATAGTAGAGGGATAAGTTTACTCGATGTAAAGTATTCTGATACGATACTTTGTATGGCATCTTTGCCAATGTTATACAAGGTATTGCACAACTTATGTAATTTTTTATATTAATTTTATATATTTTTAAACATTTATATTCCTAGCTATTATACATAAGTACAACAAGAAAACTATTTTAACTACAACTAGTAATCGAGCGCCTCACGCAGGCTGGATAATCATGATATTTTATATCATATTTCTAAGAGTTTCTTTATTTCAAAATTTTTTATATAATCAGAGAAATTATATAAGGAGTACACATTTTACTTAGCATTCTGATTTCCTTTTAACAATATATCAATGAAAAGTTATCATCATCTTACCTTCATAAATTAAATGATATCGAACGGAATAAAGAGAAAGTTCCTTCATACACCATGCTAACCCAGGGCCAATGCAGGCGAGATAATTGTGTTATAATCAATCCTGTTTCCAGGAAAAAGTTTACAATCACCTATTTTTGTTAAAGGAAAATGAACAAGTATGGAATAGTATACCTAATACCGTATACAAAAATTGCTTTCTAAATTATAAAAATTATAAAATTTGAACTTTGAAGTAAACGAATCCGTAAACCGATCGCGAATTTCCTCGACTTAATGTCAATTTACAAAATTGCCCTTGTTTTTAGATAATTAGAAGAGATTCGATTACTTTCCTTTGCTCCTACTAATGCGGAAACTCAACTTTGTTCGTCAATTCAATAATTCATTTGTGTACGGAGTTCCCGTGGAGTCATATACGGGCACAGCTGAACCTCATTTTCTATAGTTGAAAGCTTTTTGTCGCTCGGAAAATTGGCTTTGTCATCATATGCTGTGTGGGTGACGTATTTTCATAGCGGATTTCCGTTTTGTTCGTTTGTGACTCATCTAGTTTAGGTTGTGAAAGGTGCTTGGTTAGTTTCGAATGTTCAAGTACCTAATCAGTTTTGACGTAACGCTTTCAATATTTTTTGTGTATTTAAAGACAGAATAGATCTTTTGCTACACGCAGTGGTCAGCTCGACTGCGATGAAGAGAATAATCAATTTTCACAAGGGCCGGTCATAGGATGGGAGACCGAAATATAATGGATTGTTAAGTAAATGTAAACAGCTTTTAAATGTAGGCATACCTACATCTGCTATGATTCAAATCGTTTAGTTCCATGACAGACAGAGAGACGGACAGGGAAACAGTTAAGTTATTTAAATAAGGTAATCAATGAAAAATAAATGTTTGTCATAGAAAATATAAGTTCATGACCTACCATACAGACATAACATGATATAACAAGAAAAACAATAACAAATACTTTAACTGCATTGTTACTTTAGATAATAATAGACAATGGGGTGTTTGTTTATATTTAAAAATTCACACTGGTTTCAATTGGATGGAATCTATTATTGTTGATATAAAATTAAAAGCAGACGAAGAATCTCAACACCATGGTTTGATTTATTTAAACTATCAAGAGATGCCGCTATTCTCAATTCAACTACTAAATAGATTAATCAAATAAACTTATTGAAGTCACTTATAATCCGACACTTTTTAACTACTTTAATGAGATGATTTTTTTTATAGAAAAATGATATACAAAAGACTTATACAATACAAAAGACTTATACAATTATTATACCACGCTTTGCTCTCTATTAATAACTACTTTAATAACTAAACATTACCTCCATAATATTAGCATTAAATTTATACGGGGAAACATTCAAACTAATTATCTTACTTATTTACTATATAGTAATTTCCTAAAGCATAGGTATCTATTTATCTGATAATTTCCTAGTAATCTAGAAGGTAAAGGTTAGAATGTCATATAAACTGTAGAGTTTAACGAATAATAAAATGCCACCGTCACCAAATCATTATCGAATAAATCTTCCGTTTCATATCAATTGTAAAAGATAAGCATTGGTAACAACCTAGACTTTAAAGACACATTTAGTTTAATCGAGTCTTTTTAGAAACTACTTAAACTACTTACTTATTTTCCCGCGACCTTGCTAGCTAGTAAATAACAGCCTATGACACTATATATATATATATATATATATATATATATATATATATATATATATATTAAGAACCGTCATATTTCCGTTTGATTGATCGTTGATTTGTTTTCTTTCTTTCTGTTTAAAAAGTTTTAACAATGTGCCGTTATTTGTTGAGACTAATTTTAAAAACATCGATGTCGGGAACTGCCGTTACAGTGACAACACTAACTACTCTAGCAGTTTTCTGAAAAAAGTGTTTTCACCGTCACTTTACATGACGCTGTAGTAAACAAAATCCACACTCAAAATCAATCAGTTAACAAAATCGAGAATCAACTATTTTGTAAAAATTACCACACTGCTACTAATCTGCGTTTTTTTAATGTTTTGCGCCCGAAGTGCACTATCACGATTGTATGGGAAACTCCACGGGAAATTCTTGATCGCTTTCTCGTGTTTAAGACACGGATAAATTTATCCGTGTCTTAAACACGTTTATAACTTAAATTTATTCACGTTTATAACTTATATTTATTCAATTCACTGATTAATATCGTACAATAACTAAAATGATAAAAGTACTTGTTTTAAATACATTAAATAACTATTTTAGACCACACATAAATAAAAGGGTTCGTAGCATATAAAAGAAGATTTTTAAAGACTATTTATTAAAACATAGTAGGTATTACATTGCATATTATAAAAGTCAGTATAAAAATGACATTAATTTTTGTTGCCAATTTAACATACTATTTTTTTCGCGTGAAAATATAATATAGGTATTTTTACTATATTATTTAATACATAACTTTATAACAGAATGTATTTAGCGTGTGAAGTTAATTCAGTCCGTAGCTTTTCATGGGAAGTCGCATGTTTAATTAAATAATGAACGATATTCAAACCTCCTAGGAAATTCATGAAGTATTCGTTTCAGTTGCTTTCAGGAATGCGTCATTATTCATGTGTAAGATGACGTCACCACTGTTTCGACTGAAGCTTCAGTCATCGCACGATATAAGGACTGACTGTAACGAACTAAGTTATAAGCTTACAGGGTTATTCTTATTATATTTTAATTATGATGACTTCGATTATTTCGATATCGTTTTATCGACTATGTCCGGTATGTGTAAGGGGCATTTTTCTTTCAAAACAACACCGTGACCTGTATTTCCGCAAGGGTTGTCACTAGTGAGAAACAAGCCGATTCAGTCATTGGCATCGTTACGAGTTTTTTTTCATGATTGGGCAAACTATAAATAATAATCATGTGGTTCGCCTAGCTGTGGTTTTTGGCACTTTTAACGGTGTGGTCATCTTGTTTTTTTAATTTTATAAATAATTTCTTAACCAATATTTTAGTACAATCAGATATAAAGCTCGTGGAAAGCTAAACAAGTTATAGTAGAATGATAAAATTTAAATACAGTCTGACTAGTTCAGATTTAAGTGGACGGTATACTGACTGAGAGCTGGCGAAAAATATTGTGCAAGCTTTCTATAGCTTGTTATTTCAGTTTGTTGAAGTACTAAGGGTATACATCACCCAGTGCGAAGGTCAGGCGCTGGAACAGCTGGAGGGCTACTTTTTATATTAAGAATAACATTTTCGCTAATTTTTAACTTTAATTCACTTTTGTCATATAAACATCCATATATACCATCTCAGAGTACCAGGGACAATGTAGATTATTTAAGTATTTTTCATTAAGAATATTATATCACTATAACTGATACGAGGGTCAAACTGAAAGTTCTTAGAACTGGCCACTTATAAACAATATAATAAAAAAATAATTCTAAAATTTGAAAATATAACTCTTTGCCAATATTACTGAGTATATATTTCATTCATTTGTCATTTGTTTTACGATTTGGCGGCAAATTGAAAATTGTCTGTGTCACGTCATCATGAATTTAACACGAGAAAATTTTCGTGCAATGATTTTTTATGACTTTCGATGTCATTTAAGTCAACAAGAAAGTTATGATAGACTACGATTGGCCTTTCACGATGAAGCCCCATCTCGTGCGACTGTTTACAACTGGTTTAATGAGTTTAAACGTGGTCGCACTAATCTCACTGATGATTTACGTGAGGGACGGCCTT